GGACAGAAAAAACAAGTTAAATGGTCAAATGTTGACAAAAAAATCAATGACCAAATATGTACAAATCAAAAAATGTAACATCTATTCCTTTTCAGGTTTGCTTTTGGACCCTTGAGTTTTGATTTGTTGCAAGAAGGGTCCCCGATGTCAAAATCCATGACTTTTGGTGTTGCTCGAGTTCGTGGGGCATATGCCTTGGTACGTTTGAGCGTACTATGTCCTGTGCTAGTACGTTGCGCGTACTCTGGTACGTCGGGCGTACGTGGTTGAGACCAAAACCCTAACAATTAAGGTTTGTGCACTATTTAAATACCACTATGGCCCCAAGACCTTCCCCTTTATCAGCCTCCATCCCAAGATCGACCCTCTTTGCAAACCCTAGTTCATTTTGAGCATTTTGTGCTTTTTGGAGTGATTGTGTGCTTCCTTGGTTGTGAAGACGGATCTTTAAGGAAAAAGCTTTGCTCTCAAGACTTTTGATCCAGCATCTCCTCTTCATTGTGCACCATTTGGAGGTATAAAGCTCCACACTTGGCTTATGTTTCTTTAGATCTTAGTTAAGCCTTGTTTTCTTCTTTTTTGTCCCCAAAGTTTAGGGCTTGATGAGTATGAGGTACTCCTAAGCCTTCAAGGTGTCCTTTCAGACGTTTTAAGGCATCTCAAGTCATAAAGATGCAAGCTTGGACCTTGATTTGTCCCCATCCAAGAGTTAGGGTGTAGAAAAGGGTGAAGTAAGCTAGGTTTTTAGTGTTGGGCTTCTTGTTGCCATACAAAGGCATAAATTTTGCAACTTTATGGCCTTAGGGTCGTAGTGGGTTCAGATCTAAGTTTTGGCTGTAGGGTCTTAAGGCATTAAGACACTTTGCATGAGTTTGCATGTGGGGTGCGTACGCCTGGCATAACTCCTTGTATGTCGCGCGTACTGCATCCCAGTCACGATCCATCCACTTTGGCCGAGTACGCTGTGCGTACCAGTTGGTACGCCGAGCGTACGGCCCAGTCTAGCTTGGGTGATTTTTAGTCCTTAATCGTTGGGCTTGCTTGTTGGGCTGGACCATAGACTTACTTCTTGTTGGGCCACTTCTGATGTTGGGCCAATATTGGACCTTGGATGATCCTTGGGGTTGGGCCTAGGATTTTATTGGGCTTGAAAGACTAACTTGACCCTTTTTTACCATGGACATTAGGCAAGTATTGTAGGTTTTTAGTTTTGGGTTATGTCTCAATTATTAATTGGGACTCTATTGTTTAGTTAGCATGGGGATTTCTCCAGTCCAGCAGCCCGAGCGTTTATCAGGGTTTTTCAGCAATTGAGGTGAGTTTCCTCACTAGATCCATGGGCCGAAGGCACCAATGCCGGTCCATTGTTTGTTGTGTAGAATTTTGGATGCCATGTGATGATTATATGGAAGATCCGGCCCCTGGCATTTGTCACTAACCATAATCACAAGACAAGGTTAGTGACAAATCCATACTATATGGACTGAACTTGTTTAATCTTAACTTCTTGCCACCTGGTAGCACAAGGGCCTACCATTGTTTCCAAGTAGTTATGCAAACAACTGAGAACTTCATAGAACTCACATTCATAGTCAACTTTAACTGGAATGGGCATAAAAATAAGAATATGTCAACACGATAGGTTACAAACCTCAAGACCGGGATCTGACCCCTAGCAGTTATATGAGAAACCAAGATCTGGCCCTTGGCATTTGTATGAAAGACCAAGATTTGGCCCTCGGCACTGAACGAAAAGACTATGATTTGTCCGAAAGCATTTATCTTCTTTAATGTGTGGTGTTTGGTACTTGGGTAACTCACTAAGCGTTACGCTTACAGTTTGTGTTTATGATTTCAGGTACTTCCAGTTCCAAAGGGAAGGGCCCGGCGTGATGGCACAACATCCTCCCCTCATGGTTTCCGCATTTGAAATAACTTGTACTCTGATGATTTAATACTATGAATTGTATGGGTTCTGAACAATTAATGAATGTTTTAAATGACTTTTAAATGAAAAAAAAATATTGCTATTTTGGGATGTTACAAAAAATATATTACCTTTTTAAGTCGTTATCCCTATACTAAAAGTAGCAACATATCATCAAGGGGTAATCCAATCTGTGTTAGTAGTTGAATGAATTTGTAGATGTAGCGAAAAATGTGATAAAAAGTTTTGTGAAATGGTAGATAGCTCATGGAAACTAGATTAAAAGTTATGCCAGAACAAAATATAAAGCTATTCTCCAAAGGTTCAAGGAATACATGATATGAAAGAGACAAAAAAAAGGCTATCTTTCCATGATAATTAATAGCAATTGAGGTTAACTCATGGAGTTTAAAGCATTAAAAGAAGACTATTATACTTTATGAATATTCTTTAAACAAAATGTAAATACATGTTATTGACATATTGACAATTTATTTAAAACTTACAACTGCTTGATTGAAAAAGAATCCTTTGGTAGGTCTTGCATAAGAAGAGACTTTAATTGGGAAGTACATGAAACGAAGATAATGAAGACAATAGAAGAAATCGATGATGATCATGATATTAAAAATTAATTGCAGTGTTATAATAGACTACCATACAATAACTTAAAGTAAAAGTTTGATTATTCAATCAAGAGAAATGGATGGGTGATGTACCCATAGAGAATATAAACTTCACACTGATTTTCATGTGGTATCCATGTCAAAATTAACCGGTAGATGTTATAATTTTTACAGAGAATGACATTAAATTTTATATATCTGCTAATATGAAAATGAACCTTCAATCTCCAAATTAGCGGACTCAAAACTATTTGTGATCCGATTTCATCAAATTTAGCAGACACGGAACCTTCGGTCTCTAGATTCGTAGAAGGGAAATCATTTGTGATTCGGTTGCATCTAAGTTAGCAGAAACAGAACTTTCATGTTGGGATTTAGAACTTCGATAAACACACTAATAAAAAAACAATAAAATAAAGATGGGGAGAAAATAAAGAACACAAGGATATGACATTGTTCACTCGATTCGTGCTACGTCAACGGATAAACCATAGAGAGATTTTATTGATAGCCACCAATTAGACCCTTTTTTTGCTTAAGAGTTACAATCATTCATAAAGAATCTATTTATAGATGCAAGTTGACTTAAAATCTACAAATAAGGCCAAGCCCAAAAAATAATGTTGACAAATTTGGCATATGACGTCAATCACATGTACCGCATCATGTTGTTTCTCCCTCGAAGCTTCTCCTAGAAGTAACAATCATCAACAGCCAAAGTTTTGCACCAACAACTTTGCCCTAAGCCTTGGATTCTGCTATATGAACTGCTCCAAGAAAATTTTATTATGATGCAGCAATAAGGTTAAAACGGATATCAAGCTCTACAACTCAAAAATCTCTCACTTGGAGGTTGATCAACCAATATGATATAAACAATATGTTCACATCTGAACTCAAACTCGGTAACGGAATCTCTCTCTAGCACTTGCCTTTTCTTCAAGTATCTGAAGGCATGTTGAAGCCATACATAATTTCAACTTCTCTATTGTTACTACCTTGGTGAACATGCATGTTGGATCCTTCAAACCAAGGATCTTCTTCAAGTTCAAAGGATTGTCACTTATCAAATCCTTGATAATATGGTACCTCATTTAAAGATGTTTTTTTCTAATGTTCTTATCAAATCGTTGATAATATGGTACCTCGTTTAAAGGTGTTTTGTTCTAATGTGAAACATTAGATTCTTCGCCAAGTGAACTACACTTTGGTTATAATAATACAAGACACATTTCTTGTTTCATGTCCAACACTATAGGAAAATTTTCAACCAAATGAGCTCATTTCTAGCTTTAGTTATAGCAATATACTCCGTTTTAGTGATTGAAAGAGGCAATAAGGTCAAGGATAGCAGACTCCACAACTCAAAACTGCATCCTTCAAATTAGCAAGCACATATGAAATCAAGCCTCCAACTTCATCCATCAAGAATATCATAAGTAACAATAAGGACGAGAAAATCTTTAGCCAAAATGAAACGTTGGTTAAAACTTAAAACAAAAAGATTTTCATATCTGAGGAAATTCGGGAGAGAAAGGGTTGCATATTACTGGTAGATTACTAGTACATTCACTAAAAAGGCTAAAATGAAAAAACATGAGAAAATATGAAGGTTTTCTTAAAATTACACAAATAAAAATACATTTTAGAAAATTGGAAAATGCAATTTTTTACATAATAACCCTAAAATAAAATAAAGTTTTGGGTACTATTAATTTATTGAAGAAATAATCACACAATTGGAATTAAAAGGAGGAATTGAGGAACAGTAAGAAAATCTTGCTAGAAACTAAAATTACTCTTTCAAGTAATTGTTTGATTTTTTTTATAAAGTTAAGCTTTTAATTTAGGCTGAACTTTTAGTGTAATTTCTTTTTGTGAAAACCGATGTAGCTTTAAATTATCTCTTAATATGATTTTGTGGTACACCCCTTGAATATATTGGTGGATATTTTTAGGTGGAAGTGTGAATTCATGTTTAATAATGTACTTTAAAGAAAAGTTGTTTCGGTTTCTTTTTACCTAGTCAAATTTTGAAATGTAAAACTAAGTCCTAATAATAATAATAATAATAATAATAATAATAATAATAATAATAATAATAATAACATCACTCCCATATTCCTCGGTCCTATTTGACCACACCCTCTTCTTTATGATCTCACACTATCTATCACCCTAACTCTTACTCTTTACATTTTTCCCGCTAAACTTCCTATAATTTCATCATTTTGCCTCCTAACTCTTACTCTTTTCAATTTCACTTTTGTTTTCGTCTCCACTCTCCCCAACTTCTACTCTTTCAAGCTGCTAAATGTTCAACCGACATTACACAACACATTTAAAAGTCTAAACCCTAACCAGCTAACTAGACATTAAAACAAATAGTTGACACAACATGTTCAAAGTAATTAAATGGATAGGATTAAGGTCAAGCTCTCTCAACCCGTTTAATGTTTCAAATTGACAAGGCGCGTTTGTCAAGTCTACTGACAGGACAATTGTACCTTGTTACATTATAGTAGCACAAATATTGTACATCCAAATACAAATAGACTAACTGATTTTTAAATGAAAATTTAGAGCCAAATTTAGAAAGATTTATAAGCTTAAAGATGCCCATTCTGGATATGGACATTCATATAACCAATCGGGTGCACTGTATCGAACACAATGAAGCCACAAACCTTCTTCACTCCCATCGTATCTGCATTCATAATAACAGTCATATCGACAATAAACCCGCATTCAAATGTAACAAAATATAATATCAAAATAATGTTAAAATTGTATAATAATGTTGATTACCCTATAGGAGCCAAGTTTGGGCAATTTGTGCACATTGGATCTATGTCAAAATCTTCAACGGAATGTTCGGATTCACTGATGTGATTATCATTTGACTTGGATTCCAATGAATGAGTTGACTTCACTGCGGTTTTATGCGCAGTAAATGCTCTCCTAGAGTTGCTATCAATTTGATCGGAGAGGTAGAGTGGGTCATTCGCTATCGGGTGACCCGTGGATTGTAGGTGCACACGAATCTATCAAAGACAAAGAGGTATCAGGATGAGGAGGGTATTTACGTCTTTTGCAATAGACGGAAGATCAAGAGCGAGATCTTGTCCCATCTTAAATAATTGCAATTTTTATCTTAGACATTAGTCCCGGACTTAGTCTGCATGCCAAACACAGTACAACTTGTTCTGTCATATCATGTTGGTGGTATGTGTTTCTTACTTGATGAGTTCTTCCAGTGACTGGATGACATGATACGATGCTATATTTCCCGTTTGTGGAGATTCTAGTAAATTTTGTACATGCGGACTTTCCGTTGACTTTTTCATCCGTGGACTCTGGCTATACAGGGAAAAATACCTGATTAATATTTAATACAACAGATAATAAATCTGACATATAAAAGGTAACAAATTATGTAACATCAAGCAGGCATGGTTCTACCTCTACTGTACTCCTTCCTTCTCGAGCATTGAAATTTACTCTCAAATTTACGACTTGCTGTATCAGATTTATAAACAAAAAATTTTAATTAAAAACATGAAGGAAATAATTAAATGTCTGCTTAAGCTATACCTCCTCAGGAAATTCCCCAACAACTTTTGCAACATACTGTTTTTGTACCATCCCAGCTTCAATCTGCAGTAAAATTGAACCAAATTTAAAATTAAATATTTTTTAACTTTATTTGTAATGACGAGGGAAAAAAAAAAGTTACCTGTTGTCTGAAAATTTCAGCTTGAGAAGCACTTCTGGCAAGAATAAGAAGCCCCGAGACCAAACGATCGAGACGATGAATGGCTTTTGTTTAGTTAAGAAAAAAAAAGATGTTTTGAATGTGAAAAGAAACCACCAAAGGGAGAGATGAAAATGGGCAAAATGGTAATTTGTGAAATGAAAAGTTGGATACGGAAGAGAGGGGCCAAGTCGTGCTCTGCCTGAAGAATGCCAACAACTGTGTTCTTACGATATTGACCACATGGATGTACCTGAAAAAAGAAGCAAATGTTTTTTTTCAAATAATATACTTTTCAGGTATGATATTTGAGGTTTAAATAGTTTGCCAAGATGTGGGTCTCTTTCCCAAAAAAAATTATTTAATATAAAAATAATAAATAATACCTAATGCATTAACTAATCAAAATCACTACAAGTCAACAAAAGTTAAATATAACCATTTAAGAAATAAATGTGAGTTCCAAACAATTGACTAGTCTAAAAAATCCAAGTTAAATTAGCATATGAACTTCTAAGTCGAATAATATCCTATTTAGTTTTTTTTTTCAAATGTGCATCATCACTAGGGCATCTCCAATGGTTAACCTCTCCAAAGCTTTTTAATTCTGTGACATCAGATTTCCACTAACCTTTATTGATCAAAAAGTTTTTGTTATAAACTCACTCCCATGGTTAAACTTATAAAAAAAATTAACTAATGTATCTATATCTTTCTCATATGTTTATAATTTTATATAATCTACACTCATATGATTTTCCAATTTTTAAGTCTACATCATAATTTTTAAGAATAACTTTAGTTCATATTAATATTTTGATAAATGAAAAACAAGTAAATGGTATGTTATGATAATGTTTTTATCTATGGTATTTGTATCATTTTGAAAATTTTGACAATTACTTTTTTATGATATAAATTCCTGTAAAATGTATTCAGGCAATTTGGTATATCTAGTCAAATAGATTAAGCAATAAAAAATTATTATCTAGTTAGAAGTAGAATGTAAAACAGATTAGTATGAAATATGATATGAAGAAGAAGCAGGCAAAACATGCCATAGATATTCTTGTCTAGGGCATCACTTCCTTCAATAAGGGAAAAGGATCGACACAAAAACGTCCAGGTGGATGTGTTTTGTTTTCACATGTTAGTTAAATGATTTTATTTATTGTAGTTATTAAATAGAGGTAACAATGTATAATATAGTTTTGTTTCTCTTTATATAGCTTTATTATATGATTAAGGCAAGTATGACTCCACAATATTAGGATATGATGATTTATCTTAAGTTGTCAGAACTCAGAAGGTGATGGCAATGTCTGATGTAACTAATGTAACTAGAAGAAATGTGATTCTAGTCTATAATCTTTAACTATGTGACCAGTGTGCTTGTTGTAACAATCTGCCTGAAGGCTAATTTTCTTAATGAAAGCTCTAAACTAAACAAGAACTGTTAGGAAAATAAACAAATATAATTATGAGAATAAACAAAAGTACAGAACACTTTTGGGGAAGCATAAAATAAGAATTTACACTTACGGGAACAGATGCAGGCTTACAAACAGTAAGTACATCTTCTCCTTTGTGCAGAATCTTAACATCCAATGCCATCACTGGGGGTTCATGCCTACATCCTTCCATACAAAATTAAAAGCTTGATTTCATAGTGGTATGGCCAAACAAGAAGGTAAAATAAAATAGCATCATATGTTTTGTTCAAAAAAAATTGGTTGATGAACAAAACATTGAGTAGAACACATACACACCTATGCAGGAAGTGACTAATCTTTTGTGATGATTGAACTCTGTAATAAACAGACACTGTCTTTCCATTTACCTGTATGCGGCCAGACTTTACAGCAGAATCCTACAATTTTATAAGATAAAACTATCATCACTATTCAGATTGTTCAGAGTTCATCCACTTAACTTGTATCCAATACACAAAATATTTCAATCAATTTCGGAACTTGAAAAAAAAAATAAGCAGTTTAACGGCATATCTATATGTCCTTACATAGTAATCACGGTTCCGACCTTTAAACTCGTCGGCAAACAGATCAACGATGGTCTTCCCGGCCCACCGAACCTTAGCCTGTCGTTCACATGAACCAAATTCCAGCAGTAAAGAGGTTTAATTAGGGTTTTAGATGTACAAAGTTCACAATCGTACTGTTATTAATATCAAAATGTATGGTGATATGAAGCGCGTACATACATGAGAAATGAATTCGAAGTAGTAGGGTTTAACATAACGAATGCCTGAAAATATATATGGGTTTAAGAATCGTTATGAAGGTATGCGTTTCCAAAAGGAGATGTATATTTTTCATGAGTAGATTACCGTTACGGAAGATATAATCATGGCGCTCCGGAGGGTTGGCCGGAGTTTGCCAGACGATCTCCATGTCTTCTCTGTTCCTCTTCATGATGAAACCTTGTTTATCACCAATTTTATCTACGGTTCGCGTCCATAACCGGGCTTCGAACCGGTCTACATGAGAAAATTTATCCAAACTATTTTTTATCCTAGAATTTTTAAGCTTTTTAAATTTGTATAGGATGGTTGGTAAGATCCCTTATTTGAGCCAGGTCCGATTTCATTAGGATCTATATGAAGTAATATCTATAGAGATCCCAACTAAAATCTTAAGATATGAATACGATCCGATCCCATCTATATAATTTTATTATATAGTCGAGTCTAAAAAATTTTTTACTCAACTTGAAATCAAGCATTACAAGTTGCAAAATCATCATAGATCATCATCACTTCATCTTGAATTAGACAAGTTACACTCATGTTATTTCATTTTTGATGTTAAGCCTATAATTGTAGATCATAATGATCTTGTTTCTTTCTGTAATTAAGATGTTTTCTTCTTAATTTTTTACGGTTTGCAGCAACAAAAATTATGGTTCATGTTTAAAAGTTAAAGTTAACTCTATATCGACGTCTTAATTGACATTAAGTTATAATGTATATTGCACATCCAAGACCTTACAAGCAAATTTGAATATAAATTCATTTGGGTAAGATCTTCCGATCCCGATCCAATCTTATGATTACAATCTTGCAAAACATAAAACGATCTTGCGGATATAGTTCCGTTCATAGTATAACCAATCCAACAAAATTAGTTTATATATTAACAAACATGAATATTTCTTTCATATCTCCAAATTTATAAGTTTGAAGTTTTTATTATTGTTATTCGTTTATAAGTTTATACTATTTTGATGTGCTTCTATATTCTAAGCTTATAAGGTGGTAGGAGTAATATTATTTAGGAAATGACAGTCTATTACTATATTTCCTGCATTTAACCTAAACCTTTTTTTCTTAAGATCGATCTTTGATCAGGGATGTCAGGGTCAACCGGTGAAGTAGATAAAAGAGAACGATAACAAGTTACTACAAAAACCATCAGCAAAAAGAACTCCAAACGAAGAATCTTATTACACACTCATATCTAAACATATTACAACATGGTAAAAACCATAACTAAATCCAAATGCATATACCTACAAAAAAAATATAAACGAAACTCACTCACGATAAAACCTTACCACTTGACAAAATCTAAAGCTGTTTGAAAACCTTGGCAGCAGCATCAATCGTCCGCTGAATATCCTCAGGTGTATGAGTCAACCCAGTAAACCCAGCCTCAAACTGAGATGGAGCAAAATAAACACCTTCTTCCAACATCCCTCTATAAAACCTCCCAAATTTATCTGTATCACTCTTTTTAGCATCCTCAAAATTATACACAGGTCCATCCGTAAAAAAGAACCCAAACATTCCCCTAATATACCCTCCACACATCGCATGCCCCGCCTTTTTACCCTCATCCAAAATCCCACCAATAAGTTCACTTGTAATTTTATCCAAGTACTCGTAAGTCCCCGCTCCTTGAAGCCTTTTAAGCGTATGAATGCCAGCTGTCATTGCCAAAGGGTTCCCACTAAGCGTCCCCGCCTGATACATGGGTCCCGCCGGAGCCACCATCTCCATGATCTCCCGCCTCCCGCCATACGCCCCCACCGGAAGCCCGCCACCAATAATCTTCCCTAAAGTCGTCAAATCCGGAGTCACACCGAAATACTCCTGCGCCCCACCATACGCTAACCGGAACCCGGTCATCACTTCATCGAATATAAGAAGCGCATCGTTCTGTTTCGTGATTTCGCGGAGGGAATTGAGAAACTCCGGAGTCGGAGTGATGAATCCGGAGTTTCCAACTACGGGTTCGAGGATTACGGCCGCGATCTGGCCTTTGTGGGCATTGAAGAGGTTTTGGACGGTGGCGATGTCGTTGTAAGGGGATGTTAGGGTGTCGGAGGTGGCGGATTTGGGGACTCCGGGGGAATCGGGGAGTCCGAGGGTGGCGACTCCACTTCCGGCTTTGACAAGAAAGGGGTCGGCGTGGCCGTGGTAACATCCTTCGAATTTTATTATTTTTGTCTTTCCGGTGTAGGCACGGGCTAACCGGAGTACACCCATGCATGCTTCTGTCCCGGAATTCACAAATCTGACCATTTCGATACTGGGAACAGCTGAGATCACCATTTCGGCTAATACGTTTTCTAGGAGACATGGTGCACCAAAACTTGTTCCTTTTTTCATTGTTTCTCCTAAGGCTGCAAGTACCTGGTAATTTTTCTTGTTAGGATATTATACTTCGAAAAATCTATCAAATTATAGGAATGAAAATTGTTTTGTATTTCTTGCGTTTAACCCTGAATATAAAGATTTTGATAGAGGATAGAGGATAGAAGTAACCTCGTCATCTGCATGGCCAATGATTGCGGGTCCCCAGGAACCAACATAATCGATATACTCATTGCCATCAATGTCCCACATGTGAGAACCCTTCACGGAATCAATTACAATAGGCTGCCCACCAACTGATTTGAAAGCACGAACAGGGGAATTAACACCTCCTGGCATCAACTCCTGCCAACAGAATAGGAATCACAAAACAAATAATCACTGTAAGTGAATGTTTTCATTGAATGAGATTGCCAAAACTAGGATCTTTATAATTAACAGTTGGAACTAAATTCAATATATAACTTCTATGAGTTGAGGTGAAAAGAAAGTGAGATTGTCATCTTCTTTGAATTGATGGTCTGAAAATTCTTATCTGGGGCATGTTAATTGCTAGCTAACTGGTGGATTGTAATAAATTGCAATGTTGCAGCACAAACTCCATGATATATAGCTAAGATTATGCACTCTTGTTACCAAAATTTAGTAGGCTAAATTCCTCGATTAGAATTGCTTAAAATGATGAATCTATTACTTACAGAAGCCATCTACAAGTCGTTTAACCTAAGCTGGTAGTAAAACATTTCTCTTCAAAACCACAATATATCTGATTGTACTGAAATCATATAGAATAGAAACATAGAGTTATGAACTCAAAGCTATATAAAAAAATAAAAAAATAAAAAGCAATTTAATGTGTGTTTTGACCAATATGAAACTACAATCTATCTAATTATACTAAAATTATATAGAACAGAAACAACCAATCGCAGATGGAATACATAAGAAGCAATTTGCGATTCGTGTTTTCCTAAATTGCTAATAAACAGAATGTTATTGATTCACATTGAACAGTTAATGAAACAGGTAGTCAAGAACATCAACTGAACAGCAGAAGAGAAAGGAATCGATGACACAAAATTGAGGCAGAAGGAGATTTAATTAAATAGGAATCCACATCCATATACCTTGGCAGCGTTGAAGGCTTCTTCAGATTTCTTGAGGGTAAAAGTCTTCTTCTTCTCGTCGACGGAGACGGTCATTTTAACGGAAGATAAACAGCAACGAGATGAGGAAGACCGAGAGACGGTGGAAGTGAGTTTAGGTCTATCGGTCAACTTTGATGGCCATGATAACCCTATCCCCGCCATTTCTCCTCTGTTTTATTTGGTTTTGATGGTAAAGAAGATAAGAAAAACAGAGAGATCTATCCAAGTCTACTTCCCTACGCCCACTCTCGATTCCGCCCAATCTGCAGGTATTTATATCCCACCTGGGTCGGATTCGGACCGAGAAAATCGATAATTAAACCCAAAAACAAATTCTAAGGAATTAAATTGTTTTTTTTCATTATATTTAGAGTAAATTACACAAATGGTCCCTGTGGTTTGGAGTAATTTATATGATTGGTTCCTAATTTATTTATTTTTTTTAACTTGGACCATTTCTATCATTTGATTTTGTTGCAATGCGTGTAACAGGATGAGAATAGAGGCGGCGCCAAAGAGATCTTCGTGTTGAGATTACTGGTTGGGGGAAACGTTTTTTTGTCGGAAAATCAAGTTTGGTATCCTATTTTTTATTAGATTTGCTGGAAATTATGGGTTTGAAATCATCTCCACCTCTTTCTGTTTGCTTTGTACATTAAGTTTTGTTCGGTTATTGAAAATTCAAACCAAGCAAACCAACCTATGAGCTCCCTATTATTGACTTTAACAAGCATAGATGATTTATTTTGTAAACAATGGCATACTAGGTGTTTTGGGTTTTCTTTAGTTCATGAATTTGATGTAAGAGGTTAGTTCTACAACCCCCCACATAACATCCCTTCAAAGGCATTTTCATACACAAAAATACTCCAAAAGTCTTGACAAAATTTGCTCATTAGACCTTCTCCGATTTGCCATTAGAACATATTTGATGAGTTACATTGATTTTCATAAATAAAAGAAAGAAAAGCATCATAACTGCTAAACCACTAAATACAATAACTCTTTCTTTAATTTGAAACATATTATGAGCAATCACTATCCCATAAATAAGCAACAAATCATGACACTTGACTTAAGCAAACAGCGTGGTAGCAAGTAAACACAACCATAACAAGTAACAACCCTTCCATTTTTCATACAAACTGAAACCATCCATACTTTCTAAAATAAAAAAAACTCTAAAACATCTGCAAATTATGCATAACAGACACTAGCAGACGTTACATTCATTGTGTGCTCCTCCTACTGGCCCCACTTGCGCCCCTGACTCTTCATCTTCTCCAACTGCAACTGTGTCACCTTTTCCACCAAGTTCTTATTTGTAGCTTCCGCTTCCTTCACACACAAATAAATAATTAAATCATTTCAAATGTAGAATAACTAACTATTACCAAACAAACAAATAAACAAACCTTCAACTTCTTTCTCAGTGTTTGCTCCTCAGAGTCTCTACGTTCTCTCTCCTCTGTAAATATAGCAATGATACTTTCTTGCTCCCTGTTTAAAACATCATATTTGTGTTTTTCCTCTTCAATCTGTTCATATTATATACACAAATACTAATTAAGGTTATATACTTATGAACATGAAAAACAGACACGAAGTTTAGTGAAATTACTTACCTGTGCTTCAAGTGTTTTGCAACGATTCTTTTCAGATTCTAGATCCTGAAGAAGATTACCTAATACCTCTTCTTCACGTCTTTTCAATCTTTCCTTCAACTCATGGTTTTCTTCAACCAACTGATTCAATCTCTGAGTGTTATTATTTGAAAGAGCA